AAGGAATGACAAGGACACATCGAAACCAGTCGCTAGACATTTTAATTTACCTAATCATTCTAAGCAACATATGGCAATCTGCGGTCTTTCCTTACACTTAGGTAGCACGGAAAGCCGTAAAACTCTTGAACAAAAGCTCATCTTTCAAACCGGCAGTCTAAATCCCACAGGTATCAACGAACGCTTTTCATTCCACTAATTTATTCGTGTTTTTCTCGTTGCCATGTTCCCACCAATAACGTAGCTCCATTTTCTGCCTTTAAAAACACACACAACCCACAATTCCTCTATTCGCTCCGACGAAGGGCTAACGCTCGAAACGTCAGCTTTTATAATCGTAAAGGTGGCCAATTTACCATTTCAACTTTGTTGATATATTCAAATTATTAAGGAGCATATTGCTTGTCGACAAGAGAAAAAAAACTGGAATGCTTCTCAATAATATGAAAATGCTAGTGCAGTCCCTCCCCGCCTATTGTCAACAAAAAGGAATGAGCATACCCCTAGATACCGTGAAAACTGTATTGTACCCCATACTTCCGCCTGAAAGCCTGTCTGCTTAAAATTAAAAGCACTGTGCCGCGTCAGGGGTTGTTCGTGGCCACCCGTTGAATCCTAAAAAGTAAGATCCAACAAAATTTGCCGTCCGGTGAGTTTAAGGACTAGATTTCTATTCCAATCGATCTTGAAAAGACTTTATTCCAAAAGTATTTGCCACAGCTGAAGGTAACTCGACAAATACATTTACATAACTTTTCAGCAAACCGCAACACGGCCTTATGGTCCGCCCGAACCGCGCCACTTGTAGAGGAATTAACTGTGCCAAGTTAATCAACGAAATGGAATCCGGGGCGTTTTCGTGACATTGTTTACGAATATGAATCCCGAGAAGCAACTGATTATTGCGGACGATTCAGCGAGGAGAATGCTCGGTTTACGAGTTGTAGCGTGATTGATAGGTTCTTCGTATGAAAGGATTTGCCGAAGATTATCCGAAGACATCTCTTGACGAAAACACCCATGTTGTCACTTTCTCAGGGATGCGCCAACGGATTTATGATACGACGTTATCAGCAAGAAATTTTCAACCATACATAACTTTAAAAAACTGTTCTATTTTTTTTTTTTTTTTAAATAGGTTTAAAATCTTATACATTAGATACATGACCAGGGACTACTTCTCCCTTTAATCTTCTTTTTATTGTAGAAATATAAGAGTTAACTTGAATTTTAAAACATTTTATTCACCAATTGGCAACATACGCAACATAAGGTCTGTTTTCGCCGTTTTCAAGCTAAAGCTTAATCTCGTTCCCAGATCCTACAGTGGAAGGCCTGGGTACGAGACCAGCTAAAGCTAACAACGTAACGTCAGCGAACCAGCAAAGTAAATAATGCTACAAATGGGTCTAAAAATTCCTCGTTTTGGTCTCAATGGCTTCCAACATCGAGCCTCTTTGGTGCGAAAGAAAAAAAAAAACATTCTTTACTGGAAAAAAGAAACAGGCTGATACGAGTTTTGTCAAAATTCCTCGCGTAACTGTGAAAAACGGTTTTGCTGTGTGGAGTTTTAGAGTAGCTGTCTTCTTTTTTAGGGAGTCGTAGATTAATTTCTGATCATATTTTATGCTCTAGCATAACTTTTTATCCTGTTTAATTTTAAAGCTGAAGCTGGTGTGGGTCGCTTCTGTTTCAATTTTAAACTACACTCGCTCCTTTTGGGTTAAATAAATATTTGAAAGTCTACATATTGTGGTCCTGAAAAGGGCCATAGAGTTATATTTTTAAGCTCGCAGAATGAAACCTCATTGCGTGGTATATCATATATTTATTGTATACGCATAATAGACAATAAAAAGGAAATATCAATGCTGGTCCTTTCAATTTTGCAACATACGCCTCGCGACACGCGAGTGACACGCGTGGGAATGTTTCCAATTTCGTTTCCGACATTTTCCGCATTGCCCTTCCCTCATGACAAATATTTAGAATGCTGTGTGACGATAGTCTGCTCACATATGTCAAAAAAAAAATAATAATAATAATTGAATGACCCCAAAAAAATTTAATAAAAAGTAAACACTTTTATGTATCAAAGGTTTTGAAATTGGTTATGTCTGAAGTATAGTAATCACTGCGTCAATTTGTGGTTCGATTCTTCGACACTGTTTTTGAAAGGAAATACTTTTATTCACAATATTGCATGCTCAGAACCTAAACGACTCAAATAATGCTTGAGGGGCCAGAGAAAATACTAAAAACGGGTATTAGATCACTATAAACACTTGCCTAGCAATATAAGTGAGAACGAAAGCTTCAGTGTTTTTACCGCAACTGTACCAAATTATGCCCGAAATACTTAGTAAGCCTCAGCTGTTGAAATTGACGTAATCACGGCCCTTTTTCTGTTGATACTTCTTGTAGTTAACACAAACTATAGAAAACATCCTGTGAATGGTATGTTTCTGGTGATCATTAAACTGGCGAATCCATGAATAATTATTTTTGTGTGCAGACATTTTGTCTTTCCATGCATATCGAAGAGTAATTATGAAATCAAATGTTTCGTATTTGATGAACCCGTCGAAATGGGTTGTTCTCAGCTGTTTTAAATGTAGTTATCCTCATGCCTTTTATTATAAATGACTGATTTGTCTCGAACTGTTTTTTTATGAATTCGAATCATAGAGCGGTTGTCGATAATAGGTTTCTTTCACCTGTCTGTACTAGCGACTATAATATCGTTTCTTCATGATATATTGAACGTAGAAAACTTGTAAGTGTCCCTTCTCACGAAAATCCCTGCGTTTTGTTTAGCTTTAGCCTCTTATGTGACTGTTTGATCCTAAGTAAGATTTTCACAAAATATCCGCTCTGCAATAAAAGAAAATTACGTCCTTTCCCCTTTTTGTGAGTGACAGATGTCCCGTATCCCAGCGACAGGGCGACAAAACAACATGCGATCCGATTGCACAGAGCAAGTAATTTGCATTTGAAGAGAAAGCGAGCGATTGCGGAAAGGTTACCTGAATTATTTTAATAGATAAGCTTATGGTGCCCATGGGAAAAGAATTTCAACGAACACATTTACTCTTTAAAGAATGAATTTCCCCTCAGAAAGCGACCACGCGAATGAAGTCGATTTCTTTACAGGCAAATGGAACGCGTAACTTTTCATTCCCGGTTTGTTTACATGACACACAACTGCTCTGAAAAGTATGGCGGACGTCGACATGGCGAATTGTTCCCAACGAAATGTCGTCTCCAGTCCAGGATGTTCGAGCTCTGGGGCTGTTGTTGCCGAAATGTTTGTACTGTCGATGATTTTTGTGGGATCAGTGCTCGGAAATGGGCTAATTCTACTGGTCATACAGAAAAGTCGGCGAAGCGAATGGACGACCAATTATTTTGTTTTGAGTTTGGGCTTATCGAACTTGACGGTACCCTTCATGTGTGTTCTTTGGACCATGATCTGGATCATGCGTGGTTCTTGGCTGTTTGATGGAACGTGTAAACTGACTGTTTTCTTCCACTTCTTAAACGCTGGTGTATCTTCGGGGCTTCTGGCCTGTATTTCACTGGATCGTTTCTATATCATTGTACATCCGTTAAAATTCAAAATGAGCCGTTCTCAAACCAAAGAGCTTATTATTTTCGTTTGGATCTTTATGATCTGTTCTTCGGCACCAACTTTGTATTTTTTCACATCAACGTCGCCAGACAAGGTGGATAACGAACATTTTTGCCGTCCCGACTTCACGGGAGTTGAATGGAAGGTCTTCCTAATGTTATTTTTCTTTCTTGCGTTTTGTTCCCCTCTTATCTTCACTGTTGTGATGTACTTGCGAATTGCTTTCACTATTATAACTCGAAATCTTCACGCGAAGAGTACCTCTAATAGTTTCAGAAGGAACGCGTTCCGCGTACCTCGTTCGAAAATCAAAGTACTTCGTATGCTGTTCCTTCAGTGGCTCGTATTTATTTGTTGTTGTCTTCCGTACTTTCTAAGCCTTGTTCTATCTTCGTTGAACTCTATTTTAAAGCCATACGTGTACGTGTGTTTGTTACTACTGTCCTTTTCAAATTCAACGTTAAACGTAGCGATATATGCCCTTTTTAGTGGGGATTTTCGCCAAGGATGCAAAAGAGTGTTTTGTAAGCCCGATGCATCACAGGCATACCGATTGACTTCACTCGGGCGCAAACATCGCATTGCTCCTTTCGAATTTAGCTCTGATCACGGAGAGGGAATGGAGTTACGGCTTCCAGAACACAAACCAGTAGATAAATACTCTCAAAGTAGACAAAATCGTGGAGGTGCGAATGGTCATTTTAATACTTTAGAAAAACAAAACCAAGCTTGGGCGGTAAGAAGTGCAAGCGATCGACAAGGTAGCATTTAGAATATGCCTTAAATAATGACGCTAACTTGATTTAGACCTCGGCTGGAAGGTTAATTTAACGTAATTTTAATATTATTTATCTCTTTAAAATTGCCAGAAAGATACAAATATGGAAGAAAATGTAATGTAAACAAAGTCATAAAAATCTGACCTAAAAACCCTTTGATGGGTACAGTTTTAATGTGTACAAAAAGTCCACCCTAAATTTTGGAATGCGAAAGTTGTAAGGAAACGTTTAGTCTATATCTAAATCATGAATTGTATGATTTTTATTTAAAAACTTCCACGAGGCAATACCAAGAATAGCTTTTTGTTCAAATTCTGTAAAAATGATATCTGGTAAAGCAAACAATACCAGGTAAACAAAGACAGGTTATTTATGCACAGACACTGGATGGGTGGCTGAAGTTAAAAAAGTATTATGCATACACCATCTTAGAAGACAGAAAGGAAACTGTGATTTCCAACTGACCACACAATCGATTGTAAGAAATGATGTTAAAGCTGCATTATATAACGGATTATTCTGTGAAAAGGTTTACTGAAATACAAATAAATACAGATTTGTGGTTTGGTGTTTCCTGTATCTTGTCAAGGCATCTGGGTTCAGAAAAAAAGTGGAAGAAGTAAATTGCAGACTTGTCATTAGGGGTTGATTAGATATGTTTAGATTGCAACTGATATGTTTTTGTTCTCTTTTCCATGAGAAATTCCTGAAATAAAAATATCACCTCATTTAACAGTATGCAATTCAACATCCATTTAAAATACCCATTTCACTGGACAAATAGTCAGTTTCATGAGATGGAATCCACCTAAGGTTTCTCTGAAGTTTTCCTTGAATAGTTCACTAGTGACCCAGAGAGGGTGTTCTTCTGGGTCAGCTGTAAAGTTAACCTTGGGTTTTAATCCTTGAGATTAGTTCTGTTAGTTGCAACTTGTTTAAGTTGTCTCCATATACAAATGAGGTTTGTAAGGTCTTTTACTTTGTTGTTGGTACACCTTGGAACTTCACAATGTCTAACGTATTATTGTTCTCCAAAGTTTTTAAGGAGCAGGAGGGGGGGGGAGG